ACTATATGATGGAGGCGAGGACAGATATTCTTGCCTTGCTTTTGATGTGAAAGGTAAAGCATTCAGCCTTTCCCCTTAAGTGTGATGTGCACTATAGGTTTTATTGCAGATGTCTTTTAGCAGATTCAGAAAGCTCCCTTGTATTCCAGCTTTTTAAAGTTTTTATCATGAACGAGTGCTCTATTTTGTCAAAAGCTTTTCCGGTGCTACTAAGGTGATTATATGTTTTGCCCTTTTTTCTATTAATATTGTATTAATTATATTGTATTATATTGATCATATTATATTGATCATATTATATTGATCGATTTCAGATGCTAATCCCTTTTGGGTCATGGTGTATAATTATTTAATATGTTGATGGATTTGACTTGCTAATTTTTTTGAGGATTAAAGCTGAATCCTTATGATCGGTAAAAATGGGGATAATGACATTGCTTCGCTCACAGGTTTGTAGTGACAATGAAATGCAATAACGCACATAAAGCACCTGGCATCGTGCTGTGTCTGATGCATAGGAAGAGCTCAGTTAGTGGGAACCATTGATAATAAATATCTATGTATAATTACTTCATATAAAAGCGTAAGAGTAATAGCTAACAACTGGCACTTGCTGTCTTCCAGCCACGGCTCTAAGCCGTTTGTATGATTCAACTCACTCAATCTTGCCAGCAGCCCTGTGAGGAAGGTCCCAGTCTCGATGGGAGGTTGGGGCTCCTATAACATGCTCCAGTTATGAAGATGTCAGCGGGCGGGCCTGGGGTTTGAACGCACGCAGTCCGGCTTCAGGGCCCAGCTTTGCACCACTGTGCTCTGTGCCACGCTCGGTGCGAATTACTTCACAAGCATTCTCTCTGAGTTACTCTGCCGGGTGGTACATAAAATCAGGTTTCCTGTCTGAGTTTCCTTTAGGGGACTTCTCTAAATTCACATGTGATAATTAATCCAGGCCTGCCTGAAGCCTGTGCATTTTCCACTTGTATTTTCCTTCAGTGTGATTTTTTAATGGATGCTGTCTTTGAAATCAATCAATGTCTTTTCTCCAAAGTCTAGTAGCTTTTAGAAGCAATGACTAGTACCAGTCATGTGTTTCCCTTGCTTTGCTGGATGGAGATAGAAGAACTGGCCTTGCTTAGGTAGCGTCTAAATGAGATTTGGCCCGAGAGTTCTGCAATAGGTAGCAACTTCCCCTCATGTCATGGTTTTTCTTGACTGCAACCCATAGAAAGGAAGATATTTTCATCACAACCCAGTAGATACACCACAGAGACACACATTGTATTCACAAGGACCGTTTCATAAACAGTGCTTGGCCTTTCATGTTAATAGGCATTTATTCTGTGTTATTCCATCTATTTTATTTCCTAAAAAAAAAAACACCCACCACCAAACTGATTTCACAACCCATTCATGGGCGATGAGCCACAGTTTGAAAAACATTGCATTGGAGAATATTCTAGACCTTGTTCAGTGTCCAGACTCAGCTTAATCTCAGGATGGCCTCCATGAGACAGCTTCAAGCATGTGATTTCTTTGAACTTATTTGGTTACCAGGCTAATTTCTAAAAATAGAGCCTAGGGAATGTGTCACCGAGCCACCTAACACTCGTGTGTTAGCCTTGCTTTTCTCTTTCCCTTCTTTAGCCCATTTATTATTTTTGTACAGCTCTGTAGAGTGTACACTTCGGACAGTGTGCAGGGGCTGAGGGGAGGGTGACTAAAAGCAGGCATGCGCTCTCATAGCACGTTGGGAAGAAAATGTCATCTAAAGGCTCCAGCAAATACCTGCCAATGACCGTAAGCTCTGTGGAAGGATATGGCATTGCATATAACGGGCCAGGACTCAACGGGGGCTGTGGGAGGTGTCTCTGTGGGAATGCCACTTGGGCTGAGACTGGAAGGTAGTTAGACAAGAACCAGGCAGTGGACAGCCCAGGTCCTGCCATGTCACAAGCTTCTAGGGCTGGAGGAAGGCATGGTCTCCCGGGGGAGGAATGAGAAATGAAAAGATCTTAGAAATAAGTCTGGGGAAGAAAACCGGGCCAGGCCATACAGGGTCCTGTAGACCATGGAAAGAGGCAGGAGGCCTTTACAGGCTGAATAACATAAGCCTCATGTTTTAAACATGCGACTGTGGTGTGGAGAACGGACTGGAGAGGCCCGAGGTCATAGAGAGAGCTGTGAGCAGCCTGGTGCAAGGCCTGGGCCAGATGTGTTAGAGCCGGGTGCGGGAGGGTGGTGGACTTGTATTGCTTTTTTCCTCTTACTGAGCGCACTTTGCAATGCCTTTCACCTGCACTGGGGCCAGACTTGTTCATTTTTGAGCTGTCAACTGAGAAATAAATAAGCCACGATATAGCACAGCAAAAAAAATGGTATGGAAATGCAGCAGTGAGTCCACGTGATAAATGACCAAGACACCAAAAAGCTCTTACTCTTTTAAAAAAAATCAGATTATGATCTGAACTTGCATATTCTAGTCATCACCAAACTGTGTTAGACCCACATATTTTACTGGGTACAGTCAATTTTAATTCTTTGGAAAATGAAGTACTTCAGCTCCCTCCGAGAGTTTAAGATCTGAGAGAGGGAGCTTCGGATCTGATGTGCCGAAGGAGAAAGGCGATTCTGCACAGCCAAACCCGGCTCCGTGCTCAATAAATTCCTATTCACCTGCTCAAGGGAAGCACGTTGCCTCTTGCCTGGATTTCTTTCTCCTTTGGTTAATAATTCCCTGCACGGTTGAACACTGTTGTAATCTTGCCATGATGGGAACCTCTCTCAATCTGTTTTTTGAATAAAAATAGCTTAGCCTAAGTCTCAGTGAAAAAGTTTGTTCACTCAGGGTGAGTCTAATAAAACCCCTGTCCCCTCTTCAAGTTAAGTGGAGCCATGGGAGAGAGTCCTCTGGCCTGTCACCTGATTTCTGCCCTCCACCTGCCGCCAGGGGGGAGCTGAACATTGAGTCCCAGCTGCTCTGGGTCCCAACCCCATCTGCTTAGGTTGCTTCCATGGGCATCTAGGTCTGTTTATAGTGGGCAGTCTTTTCTCCCTTTAGTACCCAGTGCTCGTCGTTTCTGTAGCATTAGCAAAGACCCTAAGGTACAAAGGTCCCAGGCACGATTGTGTATTAATTAGCACCTTGTTGCTTACCGAAAGAACTGTAAAACACAACAAATATCATTTTCAGTGGTGCAGCTGGGAAACATTGTGGACCCAATGGCCCAGGCCCGGGCACCTTTCCTGGTGCCCATTAAACCTAGGGCAGGGGTGACGAGCCAGGCATTGCACCCAGGCGAGGAGTATTATTTCCTAGCAGGCAGTACCAAAGATGTGTTTCTCAGATGCCGCAGAGCACTTCCTGGGCTTCTGTCTAAATTGCCCCCAAGAGCTTAATTTCTGACATCTTCCCTGTGACTCAGGCTTCCGTGGTAAACACCGTTTTCTCTATTGAACAAGTGAACATCAGGACAGTTATTCCTCATTAGATGTTACCGCCTCAGATTAATGCTTCATGGAGTTTATTTTTTTCTTTTGTTTTCAAGTCCCTTCCTTATCTTTTAGCACAATGATCATCACGAAGAAGGAAATGTACTGAGTATAGTTCGCCCATCATTGATATTCTGCTTTTGTTTCCTAGGCAAAGGATTGGTAACTAGGAATTGATCTGCATCCCTGGACACTGCTTGCAGGCACTTGATTCTTGGATTCAAGTAAAACGCGAATGTGTGATTTCAGTGACGTGATGTCTAAAGAAACATGTCAAAACAGTGTTGATACAAAGAGCTCTATTGTAATGAGAAGGTTTGAGGGAAACAAAGCCAATCAGAGCAGTAGGAAAGCATTTTACGGGGAGTTCTTTGCAAACAGCGGAGGCCAGATCTGCTCTCCTGTGGCCCGTTCCCTCCTCTGACCCCTCCACCCAGTCGTGCTCCCTCAAGGGTGAGGTCCATGCCCCATCTTTCATCCTGCCTAAAACCCTTCCATATTTCCCTGCCGCCTGTAGATCCCCAGTGAGCTCCTGTCCTGGGATCCGCCCTCTGCCTCCCTCTCCAGGCTCAAGCTTCCCCATCACACCTGTTACTCCAGAAAACCCAAACGCTTTCCTTTCCCCACTCCCACTGTTTTTGCCCATGTCTATGCTTAATACGTGCTGCTTTTATCTTTTCAATCTGACTTTTGGACCTGGGGAACCCTTCGGCTCAACCACTTATTGGGTGCTTGACCCTGTGCAAGTTACTTAAACTTCAGTGAGCCTTGACTTCCTCACCTGTAAAATGGGAGCATAATAGCAGCATCGTGGGACCCATGGGGGTAACACTGTTGAATGTTTCCGAGCCTGCCCCAGGGAAGTCCCTCAGTAGAAATGTCAGCGGGCTTAGCTTTGTTTCTTAGTTATTATTATTGTCACCATCCTCGAGTTTAGCTCGGGCTGTACATCTCCTCAGTAGCTTCCCTCACCTCCCCAGCCCAAAGGCTCGGTAAATCACTTCCTTGCGCTGTGTATTTTCTTCTTTATTGCCCCGTTTATATTGTTACCATTAGTGTCGGTACATGACTTCTCATAACGTTGCTGGGCAGTGGAGCTGTTAGCACGGGAAACGGGCCTGCGAATGCTTCAGGGAGGCCTTGCAATCCACATTTTACGGACCTCTTACAACAGCGTGGTCAGGACATGATTGTTAATGAGAAGTGAATAAATGGAGTTTTCTTTATTTCCTTGGCTTTACAGCTTTGTAAGCTAACGGTTATTGAGTACCTACTATATGCCGGGCATGACTTAGAAATTATACTTTATTCTTAACTATGATCAGATGTGGTAGGTATTGTTATTATTCCAATCTTATGCATGTGGACACAGGGCACAGGGTCACAGTGTGGCCACGGACCATCTACTCCCAAAGCCTGGCCTCTCAGTTCAACAGCACTGGAGGGTGTCACTTGCCTCCGGGCCTCTTTAGTGTGTAACTGTATCATATACATTTTCGTTTCTATTCCAGGTACTCCTTCCAAGATGAGGAGGACATGTTCATGGTGGTGGACCTGCTGCTGGGCGGGGACCTACGTTACCACCTGCAGCAGAACGTCCGTTTCCAGGAGGACACCGTGAAGCTCTTCATCTGTGAGCTGGCCATGGCCCTGGACTACCTGCAGAGCCAGCGCATCATTCACAGGTGAGTCCCCCCAGGGGACAGCCTCGGGCTGAGTGCCCAGGGGACAGTGCACACCCTGCTGCCTTAACGGGTCCTTGCTGAACGTGACACTTAACCCTCACCTAATTCTCACATCAGTCCCTTGAGGTAGGTTTTGTGCCTAAGACCAGAATCAATGCATACTGGTGTTATCCTCTAACTAAGCTTAGACTACGAGGAGAAAGGTGACATACAGGACCATAATAAACATTAAATGAATTAATTGAAATAGAAATGAAGGAAGTTTGTGGGAAGGAAATTCTCGGGAGGAAATTTGAGTCCTAGCATCTGCCTGTCAGCAGGAGCGATGTGTCTCATTCACTTGGGACGTTTGTGTTAAATAAAGACAAACACGGTTGAGCCTTGAACAATTGGGGGAGGGGTTAGGGGTGCTGACCCCTGCTCAATGAAAATTTGCATATAACTTTTGACTCCCCCAAAACTTAACAACAGTAGTTCTTAAATATCCTCAGTATCCTGGGGGTGGGGGGGTGTTGATTCCAGGACCCCCGCGGATACCAAAATTCACAGATGCTCAAGTCCCTTCAATAAAATGGCGCAGAATAATGCATACAGTCTGCTCCCTGCATCCGAGGACTCCCAACCGTAGGTAGAAAATCCTGTTTTCCACCCATGGTTGGTTGAGTCCGCAGGTGCCAGACCCTGGTGTAAGAGTGGCCAACTGTGTATTTATTGGGAAAAGTCCATGTATAAGTGGATGTGTGCAGTTTCAAACCCATGCTGTTTAAGTGTGAACTGTAACAAAGCAGCTATAAACCCAAACAGACAACAGAGGGGAAAATATAATACTTTACATTTGTAAAGAAATTGGTAGTTTTAATGATGATTTTCCTGGGTGATATCTCACTTGATCTCTGTAATAATCTGTGTTTAAGTGATCAGAGCAGATACAGTTAGATCTGTACTAAATACGAGAAAACCATGATTAGGAGACATTAAACTATCATCCAGGTCACTGGTAAGAATCTTGAACTTAATCACCATCAAAGCAGCTACTATTGCCTGATGACATGCCAGGCACCACTGAGTACTTTCATATGGCACCTTATTAAATTCTCAAAACTGAGGGAGGACTTCCCATGTCATTTTAGCATCCCCATTACACAGATGAGAAAACTGTGGCTCAAAGATTTGCCAAGGACAAGCAGATGACAAAGAGCATTGCCAAGAATTAAACTTAATTCCTAGAGTCAGAGCTCTGTCTGCTACCCCAACTTGCCTTGATTACACATATGAAATATGTGCATTAATTACAGATCATTAAATGAAAATCAACACATGTGACTGCCACTGTCATCTCTAATCCTTGAAAAACTTGCTGAGATTTTAAGTACAATTATGACTTATTTAGTAAAAATTTGGCTAGATAAAATATTTGCCCAACAGCAGTTAACATTTATGTGGAGTTTATCTGGATTAGGGCAGAGCCTGGGGATGGAGAGGTAACATCGTAATTTAAAGGTTCTCTCTGCAGGCACCACAGACCAATTTTCTTTTGGCCTTGGCCCTGTACACTTACATAGCTGTTATTTAATTTCCTGTCTTTGGAAGGGCCTATTTGTATTGTAAATGTGCTCTTGGGAAAACAAATAAATGGGAAGCAGACCAGTGAATCATGATGTAGGTTCTTGGAAGTCAACTCACACACCCGGCGTTTTGTCAATATGGGGCCTGTCCACAGGGACCTCTCTGCCCGCCCGGGGCGCTGTCACGGGAGCGTTTCATGTGTGCAGCCTGTGGAGCCCCCCAGCACCCCGGGCTCACCCATCCTCCCCGAGGCTGCCACCCACAGCCTGTTTGGGTTGCAGAGATCTCAGAAAGGAGACAGGAGCTACGGGAAAGCAAGCCTTTTGACTTCTCCTGTCTCTCTCTGAACCTGGGTCCTGTGCCTGCCTTCTCTGGGCTTCTTTGTCCCTGTCATCACGAGCCAGGCGCTCGGGGCATCTTTGCTGTTCGCCCAGCACTGTGTTCCTAAGGGAATCCCCGGAGGGAAGAACCGTAGCCAGAGCCAAACCGAGAACTTGGGACCCTCGGCACCCTCAGGGGGCCCCCGATCCTCAGTATCGTTGCCCTGCCCTTTCCTCCCCGTTTACGGCTCCCCTCATCATCTTGATCATTTAGTAGGAAACCAAGGGTTAGATTTCTGTTCATGCCCTTTATAATCTCACAGTTACTACTCTGTGCCTGTCTTCGGAAAGGCCCCTTCGTACTGAAATGTCTCCTTGTTGTCGTAGCAAATGGATGGGAGGCAAACGCAATGACACTTTGAACACTGTTAAAATGAGATGACATCCTCCTGGGATCAAAAAACAATTCAGGTGCATTTCTATTGCTTACAAGGCCCACCCGCCCCCTCATGCGCATCATCTGAGCATCTTGCACCTCTCCTGAGGAGCTGTGACATCTGTGGTGTGTAAATAATTAATGTCCGTTTGCCCTACAAAGTTGTCAACTCTGAGTTAGTGTGTTTTGCTTTTCATTGCATAATCAATGTGCGGTAAAATATGAAGGACTGCGCACTGCCTAAAACCATACGAATGACTAATTGACCAGAAGCCCAGGGTAACAAATAACAGACAAAATTAAAATATAGGACATGAAAACACAAAATTTTAGACCTACCTTGGTCTTCACGTTGGGTAGTCGTATCATCCGTCGTCCAAAACAGAGCACTCCTGAGGATGAAAGGAGATGCTGTTAATTATGCTGGGACAACAGGCAAAACTGAGAAATATTCTGGAAAAATCAGGACATATGTCAATATCATTAAGACTTTCCAAGACAGTCGTGACCAAATAGGAATTTTAATTGTGAGAGAGCTTGAATAACCATATATTTCTGCCCTCTGAGTAGAGGATATCAGTTTGAAGTGGTATCAATTTGAAATGGTGTCAAATGATTTAAAAAACATGTACATGGTAAAATTAGCAGTGTTCTTTGTCAACGACATTTAAAGGACAAGGGTGGTGGCACCCTGAGGGCGGGGCTCGTGGGGCAGAGTCAAAAGCATGAAGAGCAACATAGAAGGAGGGAGAGAAGCTCCTGAGGTCGTAATTCTCTTTCTAAAATCCCTTCCTTCAAAAGAATCAACGAGTTCATGCTGGATTTGATTGACTCTATGATAACAAAACATCTCTCAGCTTCTTGGAAGTCTGGATTGCAAGACGCCTCCCAAGTTCCAAGATACTAAAATGTGAGTGGGGAAAAAAAAAAAATCGATGAAATACAGTAGGTTCCCCAAACAAGGAAAGACCATCTGCATAAACCTGCAGCTGCAAATTTGTGACTTCCTAAATTCAGATTGGGAACTCTGTCTCTGGACATGGTAGAAGATTCAGGATTATCCATAGCAGTCAGCAAATACGTGTGGAGCAGAAGGCTGCCATTTTCTGAGGGCTTCCCTCGCACCCGGCACTCTGCTAAGCAATTGTGGATTATTTCACCCAATGTGCCCATGACCCAGGAGGTTGATGGTCCCTGTTTTACAGCTGATGATGCTCCGGTTCAGGAAGTCACTTAGCTCACAAGTAGGCGAGGCCTCCCTTGATGGAAATGCAGAGGTCTTGGCCACGCTCTTGCCCCACAGATGTTGAGCACAGTCAAGGACGTGGTTTGTAAGGCATGGCCACCTGTCTCAGGCCCATGGTCTGGCCATACACTGAAGATGATACATATGGAACCAACAGATGGCAGAACGGCCTGAAACTAGAAGCTAAACTACGTGAGAAAGACCAAAATACGTCACAGAATAAAATGGTTTGGGGTGCCTGGCCGGTGGTGCTCAGTGGTTGAATGTCGACCCATGAACCAGGAGGTTCTGGTTCAATCCCCAGTCAGGGCACAGGCCCCAGGTGCAGACTCGATCCCCAGTAGGGGGTGTGCAGGAGGCAGCTGATCCATGATTCTCATCATTGATGTTTCTCTCTCTCCTTCTCCCTTCCTTTCTCTGAAATCAATAAAAACATATTTTAAAAATAAATAAATAAATATAAAAAATAAGCTCAGAGGGTTTAAAAGGATTTTAATAGCCAAAGCAGTAGGAAGAATCTAATCCTTGTGAGGGAAGCTAAATGAATGAACTACTCATTTGTCTCTCTCTGGTGACCTCGGATGGGCTGCTTTAAATTGTTTGTCCGCATTGATTTTCCTGCCAGCAGTGTGTAGCCTAGTTATTTTTTTCCCAAACATCATAGGTCCTGTTTCTGCCATAATTTCCAAGTGAGACATGGAGTTTTATTTTGTATGTGATTTTTTAAAAATCCACAGACTTGAATTTTTTCTGCACTTTCCTAAGTAGGTAGAATATTTAGCTAATTTTCCTCGACTTTAGAATTTTTCTTTTTTGTGCTTGTTGGGAGAGACACAGATTGCATAATAACCATTAATTTGCGATTGTACAATTAGACAGCTCTCTTGTTAGTCAAGAAGTCAAACATTTTTCTCTGCACACAGCTTTGAAAATCAGCCTTAGTTTCCAAATCATGGCCAGTTTCTACTTCAATGTTCCCCTTTACTTACATTAAATCAGTGAATGAAGACTTTAAAATATGGACAAAGCGATTATTTGCTTTTGTTTTAAAAAAAAAAATAAGGAAAATAAATCTCATTACAATCCTTCCTATGGGATAGTACTATTTAATTTGTTGGTTGCCACAGTCCCTCCTGTGAATAATGGGATGGAAAGTAATTATTACAGTCGAAAGATGAATTTGTATTCACTCCCTTGTCAGCTGTCAAAGAAGACTCAGTTATGAACGTAAGCTAATGAGGTGAATTGTACGGGACAGTTAAATAAGAAGTCATCTTGGATCAAAACACCAGTTGAGTGGATGTGTAATTGTTTCTTCCTCTCTCTAAGAATTACCCCCACGCTAATGAAGTTATAGCTCGCTGCTTTCTAAATTCCTATAGGAATGGGATAAAATCTAATTAGGAAATTTGTCTAAATAATTAACAGCACA